TCAAAAACCCACCCCACCAAGCCGACACTTGGGTCATTTATAATAATAGTATGTTGCGCTCACGTTGCTCTTCTAAGGTTCACGTCGCCATTATTGCGTTTCTGCTATGAGTTTGTCATGCATACTAAGCAGAAAATTTATATTTTTTTACAAAAAAATTGTTTCTACTTTGAAATCATTTTACCCATCTTAGGTTCACGTCGCTGTTGTTGCTTTCCCGTTATCAGTTCTCACTAAAGCCGTTAGATGGCGCTCTGTGTACATTTACTCTTTAGAACAGTGATTAATTTTAAAGCAGAATTAAATGCTCTTTCTCAGTTTTTTGCTAATATTTTGAAAATGGTGAAGAAATCGGCCAAAGTAATTGGCGACTTTATGAAAGTTTATTTCCGAAAGAAGGCATGACTGATTAACAAAGCAAGTACAAGTTTTAGCTAAAACCATTACATTGCATGTGTTTTACACTTGCACAATATACCTTGAACCAACGTAAGATTAAAATTACTGTCTGCCTGTTTCGGAAAAACTTGCCAATCCCCTTAGATGAAATCTCTGCATTCTTGAGTAAAGCCCGAAGAATGCCGTTACTTCATCTAGTAACATTATACAGTAGTCGAATCCTATTATGACATAAGCACTATTACTTACCATACGAACTTTAAATTTGCGACAGTTGCGTAGCCCTTTGACTTAACTGTAACCTGACATCTAAATAATAGAGTATGTACAAAATTGCCAATCCCGTGTTTCTTCAGGTATTGGATTAAATTCTTCACCTGTCTAGCGGTTATGTAGCATTTCCTGCAATCTAGTGATATAATATGAGAAATAAAATTCGCTACGGCAGCGCACGACCTTAATGAATTTTTAGCATTTAAAGTTGCGAATAGCGTATTAGAGGTGAATTGAGTTTGAGCTAGCAGTTTTAAGGGGTAAAGATAGAATATATGCTTACACTTAGCAGCTTCACCCAAGATTCGATTCCCCGTGGAAGAACGGCCAGGCTGCATTGGTGTTTTTGGCGAGCGGACGCTTGACTTCATGTACCCTCGATTGCAAAACACTCGAAAAATAAGGGGAGAGATGTCTTGGATGGAACGTGGAGGATTTTCTAAGGGAAATTGGTTTGTATACACGTTACACATGGGGAAGACCACAGCAGCGCCCATCCAGCCAGCCCGTTTACCGGGATTCGAAACCCAAATCGAACTAGGGAGCAGACGAAAATGTCTCGGAGACGCAAGGGGAAAAACGTTGTACAGAATGCATCGTAGAAGAAAAGAAGTCAAGGAGAAAAATCGGAATTCTAAAAAATCCAAGTAAAAAACTTCGTTGTAAAACATACAGCGGATCGAAAACTTGCCATTAAAAACATTATAGTACAAAATATCGCGGTGAAATATAGAAACCGTTAAATCATCGCGGGATAACATCGCAGACATTCTACTCCTTTACATTTTATATTTCTGAATTAACTATAAAGTTTTGCTGAAAAAATAAGAAGGAAACTTGAACATTTAATATTTGAATAATATTTGTAAACTAATGCTACATATAACAATTAACTAACAAATTAAACGAACTTTAAATTTATGTAATTAAAAGTCGTTATTTAATTAATGTCATTTAGGAAAATATATTAGTAATTTTTCATGAAAAACCATAGTATTAAAATAGATTGGAAAAACGAAGATTAGTAACTTCAGGAGGTGATCTATATTAAATAGTTTAATTATCAAATTGTAAAATTAATTGTAATAAATGCTATACATAGTATTAATTCCAGATTTTCAATGTTTTAAGTTTCCTTCATGCTTTTTCAGTAAAAATTTATCAATTCAAAAATATAAAGGGGTAAAATGTTTGCGATGATTTATTTATAAGGGTTTTTTTTAACTACAATGTTTTTAAAGCTACGAAGTTTTTGACCACTTTATTTTTTGCGGCGATGTTTTCTACTTACTTTTTTCCTCCCAGGATAATTTCATACAATGATGTTTTCACCTTGTATTGTTTTTCGCGATATTTTTGCCACGAAATTTTCCCCTCTTGTTACCGTTTCGTAGTTTTCTTCATTTGTAATATAAATATAAGTTAATTTTTTGTAAAATATTCGCACAGACTTTTCCACCTGTAAAATTATATGCGCGGTTTTTGCTGTCTTCACGTCAGAGGCTTAAAGGGAATTTTCTGCATTGGAAGTGCAAAACGATTTGGAATTGTATTTAATTCAATTAAATGGTATAACGGATTTTGTATAAAATGTAGCTATTCTGTATAGAGTAGCCAAGGTGTTTTATATTTAGAGCTATACACATTGAGTAAAATATGATAAAACTGGGGATAGATTTTTGACAAAATATTCCATTATTCAAAATTTGTATTAAAATTCAAATACTAGAATTAAATTTTTAAAAAGTGGGGCGTCCTGTTGTCAAGAAAGCGTAAATTCACTTCATCCTCACAAGTATATAACATGAAATTTAAGTTCAAACTATCATTTCGTTTAAAATTAGAAACGTGATTTCGCTAGCGTAATATTGGCCAAGAAGCAGGTTGTATTTTCAAGCCTTTTCAAGATCGATTTATCTGATAATTATTTGCAATACCAGTTTATTTTCCTATTTTACAAGTTTACTAGTGATGCGTATTCGATGTTGATAGAATAAGCTGAAATTGCTGCTTATAGTGAAATATAAGGGTACATCCACTTTTCTTGACAATTTCATGTAATCTCGTAGAGGATAATGAAGAAAAATGTAATGCATTTATGAGCAAATACTGTATTAAATGCATTTAAAAACAATTTTGAATAGGCAGTGTTTTTTAAGTAAGTTTTAACTTCTAAAAGTATTGAAAATGCCCTCAGCTAAATTCACAACTGACTTGCATGGGCAACTTTAGGTATGATCGAATACAAAATGTTATGCAGATTTCGCCTGTGGTACAAAAGTAGAACGTCCTTTAAAACTTCATATAGGCCGAAATACTGTAAAGCGATGAAAACTAATTACCATACATTTACATAAAATTTTAAAACCTCTACATCCTCCCCCCCCCAAAAAAAAAGAAATAATTAATTTACACTCCCAGTTGAAAATTCCTATGATTCCGCCAGTGATCAAGGGAATGGAATTGATGAAAACTAACCCATGGAATAAGATAAGATTTTTCCCCCTGTTTTTCTATGTATATAAGTACAAATACGGATACTGTTTATTGTGAAACGCCCTCCCTCGATCGGTATAGTGGTTGGCTCTGTTGACTGTTTTACTGTGCGGCCCATTTTCGAATGAATAGGCTTAGGCGTTTGTAAATGTATAGTGTCTATACGGCATGGGGTCACTGAAAATAATAGTGAGCCGGAAATCGTTTGGAAAGGTTTGATGGTAGGGAAAGAGAGTAAGAGACCCTCAAATGCGTCGTACGGTATTTCTCCGCAAAACTGGGACAGAACTTCCTCATTCTTGCGAGTGTGAAATCGCTTTCCCTCGTGTGAATTAGGCAACAGTCTGTGTAATTAGGCAGCTCAATTTTCAATAGGTGTTGGCCATTCCCGATGAATGCATGAAATTTACATCTTTTACAGCAATTTTAAACAATTTACTGCGAAACTGCGAAATTTACTGCGAGGCAAAATTTCTGATCGACTAATAGCTGACTGATTATGTTCGACTCGCATTATGGTAATTTGCCCCAAGTTCGAGTTCCTACGCGATTTTTTATAATGTTTCTTATGTGCAATGTGTATTTGAAGTACTTACAGTAGATAGATTTTCGCGCTGCCATCATTATATGTTGGCAGAAATCCTTCCCATGCTTAACAAGTCCAGTGGTGACTTTCCTATTTTTCTTATATAAATATATGTATGAAAACTATCTGTTTGTAGGTAGTTTTACCATAAGCAATGCCTTTTCATAAGCACGTGGCTAGTTTAAAATTAAATCGGAGAGATAAAAATATATTTCAGGTAACTTGAAACTAGTTGAACCCTTCAAACAGAACATTACATAGAAATTTACTGCACGTATAAGTGAACGCAATATTTTTAAAGTCGAAATTATTTTTTAGCTTGTGGTAGTACTTCTGAAAAAGCTTAAATATTTGGGAGTTTTTAAGAGAGAATTAGCATATCTGTAGTAAGAATATAATTAATTTCGTACATAACTCTAAATTGGGATATCCACTGAAGTTTGCATGCCACTTAATTGTAATGGGAAAGCGTAATTAATAATTACCGAAGTCAGGGGCGGATGGAGGTACGGAATTGGAGAAATTTTCTGAGACGCTGGTGGCGTAGCGCCGCCTCGTCACCTGGTATAGATGGTTTAAAAACGAATGAAACATTAATCATAATAATAGGATTCGTGAGCCAAAAACAAAATCCTTGGAAGAAAAATATGTAATAACACTCCACCGCCTCCCAAAAGAAGCATAAGCTGTTGATAAACGTACTAAACGCATCGTCTGAACCCGTCATCAGCTCATCGGAAGTTCATAACTTTTCGATCTAATTCTTTGCTCCATAGTATAAAAGCAGGAAATTTTAATGTCCCAGCACCCCGACAATTTCATAACTATATCCAGTCGTAAAGATTCTGGCACATTTATGTAAGTCAGTGACTATTCGCCAAGACCTCAGCATGGACCTTCCGGCATCTTTATGAAAGTTTCATTCTTCGTGGTATAAGCTGAAACTTCGTAATAATGCCGTGTACTTTTTATGTCTTTATATCAGAGCACATTTCTGTCTTTTCGAACAAAGGCCAATTTTCAAAAAGATGCCAGTAACGTTTTGAAAATTGACCACTTCGGTCAATTTGACCCATCTACCCTTGACCGAAATTATGATTATTATAGCGGCAATTACTTATTACTATTCTCAAATACATGTTCCTATTTTGGTTATAAATAAAATAATTCTCTGAAGCATGATGTATAATTTAATGAAAAAAGTCCAAGTTTTAATTATCGATTCATTCTTTCACAATTTTTGTAGGTCCTTACTACTGCGGTATTGGAGCGACGAAAGCCTATGGAAGGGACATAGTTGAAGCCCACTACAGAGCTTGCTTATATGCTGGCATAACTATTGGCGGTACAAACGCTGAAGTCATGCCCGCTCAAGTAAGATGCTTTTAAAAATTAAACTCTAAAATGTTATATATATATATATATATATATACATAAAGATTAATTATTCAAGAATTCAACTTAAGGTTGGTGAATCAGCAGTTTTACATGTGATCGAAATTAGTTTTAAGCATATGAAAGCAAACAATTTAATAATTTTTCAAAATTCTAGTCAATAATATGTGTTCTTAATTGTAATACAGTGAACCCTTTCTAAGTTGACTGGCCACAGTTCTAGAGATGGTCATCTTGTGGAGGTGTTGTTCATTATGAATATTTATGTTTTCACAGATATTTGTCAGAGGTGCTCGTTTAGGGAGGTTTATCGCCACGTGGCAGTTTATCGTGGCAAGGAGAACAGGACAGTGCCTGTTGTTGGCTAGAGCCTTGAACACCATACAGGTGACAATACGACTTCGTTCAGTTCCTCCCCAGTTTTGAGGCCCAATTTGATTTAACAGTGAGATTTATTAATGTGAAATCATTTGCGTCTTTTCGGGACTTTGCGGGAGGTCTCTTCCTCCCAAAAAACTTAGTTTTTCATCAAGTACCTGTTTGGCAGATTATGTGTAGATAATCTCCAAAAGTAGATAATCGAGAGTTTAGTGTATAAATTAAAAGTGTAGGCCAAAAAGTAGTTTCCTTAGATACAGAGCTACGTCAAGATTTAAAAACATTTTTTTCCCTCCCGAATGCAACATTTCCTAATTTTTCGACATAATTGCCAAAAGCATTCAAGAATTTATCATAACATGCAATAAGATTGTGGTCTTCAAGCCATTTGACAACTGTCTTTCATTTCGTCGTCACTTGAAAATCGCGTATTCTGTCAACGTTTCTTCAGTTTTCCGAACGGCCCACGTGCTGGTTATATGCTGAGTTGGGAGCAGCTTGCAACAAGTCAACGACGTTGTGCCAACGATATGCGCCTTACTTTAACTTGCAGTGGGGCCCACCAGCGACCGAGCGGTAAAGTCGCTGAACATTGGTAGTTCGGTCCGAGGTTCGAATCCCGCGAACGGGCTGGCTGCGTGGGTGTTTTCGTGGTTTTCCCATGTGTAACGTGTATACGAGCCAGTTTCCCTTAGAAAACCCTCCACGAAGGCATTCCTCCCATTAGGCAGATAGCCGTTGTGTACTTTGCCATAATTGAATAACCTAACCTTATCTTGCAGTGTCGTCGTCAACGTCATGTATTTTCCTTTATGGCCCATTAATGCCTTCTCATAAAGAGCTGTATTCATAATCATTCCATTGTGCCATAAAATCAACCAATAATAGTCCATTAACATTCTGAGAAAGTTAATGCCATCACTTTTCTGCCGATCATCTTGAACGTTTTGCGTAATAGTTATGCAGGATTATTCGATTCTGTGCTTTCTATTTTTGATTCCGTATCATTGTGGCATACTCATGTCGAAACCCACGGCGATGCATGATTAAAAGTCATTTACCTTGCGCCTCATAACTCAGAAGGTTGGTTAGTGTGACACTCATTCTCTCGAATTTCTGTTAATCAGACAGGTGTTTCTGGACTGTTCTAGAGCACGCTTTCCGATGGTTGAAACGTTCATGGGCAAATGTCGCGTTCATAAACTGTGTGAAAGATAAAAGTACGTCTGGAACTGTGTGTCTGCTTTACCGCACCATTTTAACAATTTCGCCAACAAATGAGTCTGATGGTGATGGGCAGGCACTTTTCTGCAATCCCACATTTGTTTGGCTTGTGGAAAGTTCAAGACAGCGTTTGTTGGACAGGTGTCACGTGCTCTCCGCATGATGCTTCAGTCCTTATTTTCTGCGGTTCCTGCGCGCACTTCCTTTGTTACACTTTTGTAGTATCTTAGCCATTTCACGGCTTGAACTGCATCTGGATTCTCTTTTTATTTTGTGAACCTGTGCGCCATCAGTTGTGAGCAAGTGTATAAAAGTGATGTTTCGTAAGCTGCTAGCATATACATAACATTGCAGTGCGTTTCATTCCTTTGTTTCCAAATTAAAGTTAGGGAAACTTTTTTGACTACGTATTTTTTAAGAATTAAGATAGAAACTAAGATTAAATTTTTTTCGCTTTATCTTGTTAAATCCTAGTTTCTATATATAAACACTGTCAACGTTTAATGTGTGTTTTCCTCTTTATAGTGGGAATTTCAAGTAGGACCCTGTGAAGGTACCTCTATTGGGGATGAAGTATGGATGGCACGATTTATTCTACACCAAATTGCTGAAGAATTCGGCGTTGTTGTGTCTTTCGATCCCAAACCCATGCCTGGCAACTGGAATGGAGCTGGAGCGCATACCAATTTCAGTACAAAACAGATGCGAGAACCTGGCGGATTAAAGTACGTATGAAAACGAGAACACTGTTTTTTTTTTTTTTTTTTTTTTTTTTTTTTTTTTTTTTTAAGTTACTGATTCCTGGTGATACACATACTGACCAATGAATTGGAAACTTTCGAGATTTTCATTTGAATGCGGTGCTAGGGATGACGTATGCAAATTGATTTTTTATGACGTGGGTTGCACGTGGTTAGAGAATGCTAATATAAGTAAGGTGTAAGCGTGCCACCCGGATATGTCTTCGCTATGCGCCCATGTTGGCTTATTTGTCAAAAGCCGGCAACGTTGCGTCAAAAACACCACAGACCTCCATAAAAGATATTGATTGATTGAATTTAGGATGAATAAAGTAAAATGAAGGAAAAAAAAAAAAAAAAAAGACAGGTCTTTCACCATTTGAAAAAAGGGCTTATTGTTGGTGCCCGTTTAGATTGGGCCTCGATTTCGAAGACAGCATATCTCATTGTGTTCTCAAAAGCAGCCATGTGAAAAGTTTCAAAAGCTGGAATTAGAACCCACAGTCCTTCTCTAGAAGACGTAACTGTGGTTCGAACACAATTTTCCAAAAGTGTGATCGGCGTCGTCTCCGACAAATTGTACGGCAGAACAAGCTCTAGCTGACACAGATCGTCAACCAAGGCTCTTCCCAACAGATTTCAGCTTGAACCATCCGCAGAGAATTGCAGAAGATATAAATGCATAATCGGGTGCCTGTGAGAAAAACCACTCATTTCTGCCCGACATGCAAGAATTCGTCTGCAGTGGTGTGGGGAAAGAAGACACTGGCCATCTGAGGATTGGAAACAAGTAATGTGGTCGGATGAATCACGCTGCATCTTATTTTGCACTGATGGTAGACGTCGAATTTGGCGAGAAACCCATGAAGCCATCTTGCCTTACTCGCACTGTGCAAGGGTCTGGTGGGAGTATCATGATATGGGGCATGTGCTGCTGGCATTGAAGTGGTGCCGTGGTGTTCCTCGAAGCAGCCATGAGATACCTAGGTATACTAGCAGATCATGTGCATTCTGAAATGTTGCATTTTTCCCCTGGTGGCGACGGATACTTCATGGACGATAATGCAACTATACATCGTACCAGAAGTGTTCAAAATTGGTTCTCTGAACATCAGCCTGACTTCCAACACCTTCCCTGGCCACCGCATAGCCTCTATCTTAACCTCATAGAAAATGTATTGAGATATGGTGGAAAGACGCATCCGACACCAGTCTGCTTTTCCATCTAATTTACAAAATCTAAAGCTGAATAGCCAGTGGACGTAAATGCACTTCAGAAGCATGTAAACTCGATGCCTAAACGAATCAGAGCAGTTATCCGTACAAAAGGTGGTAGAATAAAATATTGAACTTGGGTTTCTAATTCATTGACCAGTGTGTGTATCTATATTTTACTTTAATCCTCTCCTTTTTTGTCTTTAAATGTGTTGAGGCTTCATCACTTTTAACAGCCTAAGCTATCAGTATAGTTTGTGCTTATTTAACAGATTAGTAGTTGAGACAGCAAAATAGGTTTTTACTTAAATATCGCTTTTGAAAATGCTTAGCACAAATGAGAAAAAAAAATTATTCCCGACTGCTGTTTCGTTGGATTTAATCCAAAATTATCAAAGCAGTATCTTTATGACGGTGAACCATGTAGAAAGTGTTGTTGATCGAATGAAGAGCATTACAGCGGTTCTCAGTTTGGAGTATAGAGTTAAATTTTATGTAGTACATCCAAAGCTGGATTAACCATTAAGCAATGTAAGTACATGCTTAGGGTACCAAGGAAAGAAGGAATCACAAAAGGTTCTTTTTCAGGAAAAGGGTTACCAAAAATTTTGCCATTGCCGATTTTTCCACGGAATGCATGGTGCACCTTAAACCAAAATCAACAAAAAGAAGGAATAAAGAAAAAATTGGCTTAAATTTCCATTAAATTGGTGTAAGATATGTGAGGGCATCAGCATCTTTTAAGCTTTACGGCCTTGAAGGTCTTAATCCGGCTCTGAATCTAGCGGTTCTCAAACTGGAATACATGATAAGAAAATACTAATAAAATGAGAGATTTTTCTTAAATTTTAAAACCTAGTAAAAGTTTTACTAATTGTAGAAAGCAAAAGATTTAATGTGTGAAATTTAACGAAAAATTTTAAAAAATTTTAACAAGAAAAACCATAGAATGTTCCCGACTTTTCAAGGGGAATTATTTTCCATAAAATTATCAGCAGTTCAGTTCGATCACATTTCCTCTCTCACACATTTTTGAATAAAATTCCTATGCCGAAATGTAAAAAATGCAAAATAAATCTAATTTCTGAATTTAGATCTTGATTTTCAATAAATGCGAGAGAAATGCCTTGATGCTATGAAGAACAGTAAATGTATATTGCGGAACAATATGTCAAAATAAGAATCAAGAGTGACTAAGTAAAAGTTACTGAATAGAAACATATAATACAACTAAAATACATTTTAAATAGTCTTATCAGTGTTTTAATTTTTACATTGGCAAAAATTAATTCTAATTTTTATTCAAAGTAATACTCATACTAAATACTGTAGTGGCCATTTTCCTATTCAAAATGAAGGTGCATTTGCATCAGCATGCTAAAGATGTCCAGGGTTGCTAAATTAGAATTTAGGAGAACTAAGTACTGTTCCGCTGTTAGATTTTGAGTTGGCAAGAAAATTAAATAAAGAAGCATTCTGATTCGCTGTCGACTAAGAAATCTAAATAGTACTGGAGAGGCTGCAGCAGGAGAGAATTCTATTCTCTCTTTGGCAAGATTGTGGATATTAAAATGACAAAAAAAAAAAAAAAAAAAAAAAAAAAAAAAAAAAAAAATATTTCTCGCTGAAAGTCAAAGAAAAAGAAAATCAGATTTGCAGTCAAAAATCTTCACTTAAAATGGAAAAAAAATTTCGTCTGTTATTGATAGGATAGAAGCCGGAAATATGTGCAGTAAAATTACAGTTTAACATAATAAAAATCTTTAGTTCTAACGAAACATCCTTTCCTAGCCTAATTTTGGTTTCAGATAAACTTATCATATCTGGTTAAAATTTGATATTTAACTCGCCGTTTTACTTCCTTGTACGAAATAAAGAGAAGTATTATAATCGCGAAAAATTTCTGGTATCGTATTTCAACGAAAATAATCATTTTGGCGGTCTCGAATTCATCTAAAGGATGTTTTTCTTGACATCTGTATGCACTGACAGAATAAGGTATCTAACCCCAAACGGATTGAAAAATTGATTTAAAATGGATTCAGAAGAGATTTTTTTCGTGACGTCCTGACTTTTCTGACGTTAAATTTATCGTCTTAAGAAAGATAGACGAGAAATTTAAATAGTAAAATAACATTGTAAATATATAAACAGTGTACGCATTTTATTTGGAAAATGGAATGGAAATCATTATTTCGTTATTCCCCCCCCCACCTTTAAAAGGGGTCCGCTTCATATTTTATGTTTAATTTCATGGTCCACATAACATTCAAAAGTTTTTTAGAATTTTCGTTTAGCCTTGCAAAATACGGTTCTGAAACTCACTTATCTTATAGATTATAGTATTAGCTGGAAAACTTTAATGTATTTACCTTAAACGTAGAACTCGTTATAAAACTTTCTTGGGAATTCGCTTATAAAAATTTTCGCGAACGATCTTAATATGAAATTCTTACTAATAGCATCTAGCCATGAGGTTTTATGTTCTTGGCAAGCTGCTGAATCAAAAGGAAAACTGGTTATTCATTTGGAAGTTTTAGTCAAAATTGATGCATACGACATAGATATCCAAATCGAATAGAATGCTGTGTTAAAAATAAAATTTACAAACAGAAATCTCCACAATTTCCGTTATTACATTTCACGTTTTCCAAACATAGAAATTTCCTTCTTGGGAAATTTTTAGAGTGACATTGATAAATTACAGGTATGTAATATATGGCATTACATACTCTTAAGTATGACATTTTGAGCTGTTTAAAAAAATAATTAGTTGGACGCTTTTGATATAAATTTCAACTGTGGAAAATAGCGGATATACTTTCATTCGGCAGTATAACTTATACTGATGAAGTCCAGATATACTACTTTATTTTACACTATTCGGTTTCTTCCATTCGATTTTTATAGTTATACTTGCAGATGCATTAACATTAATTGATTGGTGAATAATCGATCCTGCAGACTATTTTTAACCAAGGTGATCTTTCCTATTATGATTAAATTTTTTAGTTAACGGATAAGCATTTCCTGGACGAAACCTTTGAAACGGAACGCCGCTTTTATGCACTTCGAAAAAGTTGCAGAAGGACAAGAAGTCTTTTTGGAGATTCTTTTTAAAGCTCTCTACCAATTTTAATTATTTCCAATGGCGAGCACTACGGCTGGAAGCGGTGGTCGCTTTATTATGAAGGCACCTAACAGCTGGGCCACCGTTGCTTCCTATGAAGGAGCGGATAAATTACATCCATGCTTTGTCCGGGATTCCAACCCGGATCCTTCGGTACAGCAGTCTGAGTCACTAACCACTTTACTGCCTGTGCAGTACTCCTAACAAGTCCAAACAAATATTTTATAAAATAATATTCCTTTCGTTATCGTCTTCGATAAGAATTTGCGAAATAGTTTTTCTGTGGATCTATAAACTTCATATTTTGTTAAAGAAATAATGAAATTCAAGGTGTGCAGTATTAATTTTTATGAGAACCTCATTAAATGAATGCTAATATATTACGGAATGCCTTGGAAATGATGCCTTCTTCTT